CTCCAGCTCCCTCTGACCGGTGGCACAACCAAGTGGTGCCTCAGCCACTCCATCAGCTGCCAACTTGCTGAGGGGACAACAGTCTCACTGCCCACATCCTTCTTGAGGAGCTTGGAGAGGGTTGGCCTCATGGATACAACTCTTGATCTACTTCCCTTGAGACCTTACTCCATCTGGAGTTTGGCCACTGATTAACAATCTCTGAGCCCAGCCCCTCAGCCACTCTCAGGCCGATCATGCTTTCTTAGCAAACACAGACACTCTGGGAGCATGGAATGAGAAGGAGCCTCAAGGGCTTCACAAAAGCCTGGAGTTCAACAGCACCCACAGCTCTCTCCTCATGCCCAGGCTGAGTCACTGCGACAGAGCAGACACACAGCTCACACACCATTTCCTCATGGAAAACCTCCATGAGAAGTAGCTTCACCCCTTGGCACTTGAGACAACCCAAGACCACAAAGCCCAGGCTCTCTTCTATCCTGCTGCTACTCCACTTTGGCCTCTGCTGCATTGCACAGCAGCCACCAACATTTGTGGAGTCGGTTCAGCTGGAAAACATTTTGGACATATAATCTGGATGTTAACCAAACAAAGCCAATGCCACCTATGTTTAAAAATTTCATTTGGTAAAGACCTAAATGTAAAATATCAAGTACAACCCTTCCTAACAGCATTGCCAAGGTCACCTCTCGGCCTGTTCCCAAATGACACAGCTCTAAGACATGTAAATCCCTCCTGGCATGCTGACTGCACCACTATCCTGGGAAGTCAGTGCCAGAGATGGAAAACAGAGTCCTGAAGGAATTTTCCCCACTTCCAAACTCAACCTCCCTTTGGGCATCTTGACTCCATTCCCTGTTCTCCTATGGCTAGATAAAAGGAAGGAAAGAATAATGTAGAATTATTTCCATTCAGGTAACTCCAGAAGGCAACAAAGACAACCCTTCTCTGAAAAACTAAACACCCCAGTTCCCTCAACTTCTCCTCATTTGTCTTGTTCTCCTTTCCCTTCACCACTTTCCTTTCCCTTGTGTAAGAGCGCAGCTCTGTGATCCCACAATGTGACCTTCCTGGGCTCAGGTAAGATGAGTGCTATGAATGAACTAACACAAGGCTTTGGGGAGCTTGGGAGGCCATCCCTAAATCACAGGGATTGGTTTCCCATGTCCAAGAGGAAAGGAAAGACATGGAGACAGGCCTGCCGGCATGCAGCCCAGGTGGGGAGGGAGCGAACATGATGAAACATCCAGATCTATCACCCTGAGTACACCTGCAAATCCCAGAGCATCCTAACAGAGCTGGGAGGGAATGAAGCCCATCTTCACAAGACAGCCACAAACCACAGCACACCAGTGTTCTGGAGTGACTTCATGGATGACACCTCACTGTCCAAAGCTTTACTCATGTTGTCAGACCTCCCTGAAAAACAACATCATCACCAAACTTTGGGCTTTATAACTCGCATTTAAAAGCTGCCGCCAGGGTCAGATTGACACAGACTCAAGAAGAGGACATAGAATTGGAGAAATGTGGAAAGGGAAACATTCCCCACCTCACCACTCACCAGGCTGCGTCAGCAAAGAGCTGCTGCCTGGAAAAAGCCCCAAGGCCATGGGACAAGGCTGTCCCGCCCCTCCAGGACCAGCATAAAAGCCGGCCCAGAGCCTCTCTCCCTCACATACTTCTCCTCAAGCCTTCTCCTCCTGCTCCTGCCAACAACAAGGTGAGTCTCAAGCTCCAACCCTCCTGCTCCTGCACCCTTGGCCCCTCCCTTCCAGCATGCTCAGCCACTGCCTCAGCAGCCTTCACACCTACCCACAGCCCCACAACAGACTCCACACTCATTCACTCTCCTGCCCCTCAGACCCCCACACCCTTCTCGTACCTCATCCCTTCTCTTCCAGGCACCCTGCACACCACACCCATGGCCTGCAACAACATCTGCAGTCCCTGCGGACCCACCCCGCTGGCCAACAGCTGCAACGAGCCCTGTGCCCTGCAATGCCAGGATTCCCGCGTCATCATCAACCCCTCCCCTGTGCTGGTCACCCTGCCAGGACCCATCATGACCTCCTTCCCCCAGAACACCGCCGTCGGATCCACCTCCTCGGCTGCCGTGGGCACTGAGCTCAATGCCCAGGGACAGCCCATCTCTGGCAGATTTGGCTTTGGCCTTGGCTACGGCCTGGGAGGCCTGGGCTGCTATGGCAGAAGGGGCGGCTACATCTGCTAAGGGCCCTCAGCACCACCCCTGACACTGGAAATTGGACACAGAGCAACAGCTCCTGCAAGCAAAGCACCTCAGCAGACGGTTGCCCTACTTGCACCTCACATGGTCCCTTCCACTTGTTTCTTTTGTCTTTTCAATCTTTTGCCTCAATAAAGTTTTCTTGCATCAAAGCCTGAGACAACTCTGCTTCTTTTTGAATTCCAACACTCTCACATCCTCCCCCAGAACATTTCTAGGAATGAACAGGCCACTGGGGCTAGATGGAAAAGGGGAACAAAATATTCTTAGCAAATACCTCACCAACAAGAACCACCACGATTATTATGTGAAGCAGAGACTGGCGGGGACACCTCCTAAAACATGACACAAGCCCACTCCCTGATACAAAAAAGCATTTGACGAAATCCTCTCCTGGGCATAAAACTGGAAGAGTCAATCCGTGCCAGCACACACTTCACAAATCTCTTCCCAGCAAGACTCTTGAATCCTCACCACAAAAACAAAAACAAAAAAACCCAAAAACCATCATTCACTTGGGCACAAACTCTAGAGTGCAAGTGCTTCCACTCCACTGATCAAGCAGAGTCAAGCAACTGCGACATTTCCAGCACAATGGACAGATCAGTTTTGGATATACCAGGACAGACTCCATCACCTCCTCCACTTTCCGACAACTCGAAGAATGAAAAATTCTTTCTTTCTTTGCCTATAGAATGGCATCCATTTTCATTTGTGCCCTCCTCCATTTTCCTTCACTGCTGAGAACAGCTGGGCTCCCTGCACCTCATTCCCTGCCATCAGATATTTACACACACTCATGACACCCCCATCCATCCTTGTCTCCTGGGAATCCCAGCTCTCTCAGCTCTCCTCCAGGAAAGCTTCTCCAGCCCTTTCAGGATCTTGCTGGTCCTCCACTGCTCTTCTTTCACACTCCACTGCCCCCATCATTGCTGAGGATCTTGAGCAGGGTCAGCCTCATGGATACAACTCTTAACATCCTTCCCTTGAGACTTGACTCCATCTGGAATTCATGCCACTGATCCCCAGCCTCTGGGACCAGCCTCTCAGCCACTCTCAGGCCACACACTGCTTTCCCTGGCCACTTGGGCTTGTTCGGATGATATGGGATTGTAGAATAGGAAGGAGAATCCAGGACTTCACAAAAGGGTTGAGTTCAACAGCAGCCACAGCTCTCCCCTCATGCCCAGGCTGAGTCACTGGCACAGGGCAGACACACAGCTCAGCCAAGCACCATTTCCTCAAGGGAAATCCTACAAGAGAACTGGCCTTATCCTTTGGCACTTGAAACACCTTAAGACCCCAAAGGCCTGGCTCACCCCTCCCCTGCTGCTGCTCCCATCTACACTCTCCTCCCTTGCACAGCTGCCCCCAACCCCCATGGAATCCCTTCAGCTGGAAAAGACACTTGACATTCGATCCAAATGCAAACCAAATCTGTTAATGCCACGAATCTCAGAAATGTTTCATTTGTAGAGACCTAAATGTAAAACGGCATCAAGTCCAACCGTTCCGACATCACTTCTAAAGCCACCATGAAACATCCCTAAAGTCCAAATCTCCATGACTTCCAAATTCCTCCAGAAATGCTGACTAAACCACTGTCCTGGACAGCCATGGACATGGCTTGAAAATCCATCTTCCAAACTCAACCTCCCCTGGGGTAAGTTGATTCCATTCCCTCTTCTCTGACAGCTGGATAAAAGGGAGACAAGACTAATATAAAATTATTTCCTTTTAGGTAACACCAGAAGGCAAAAGGGTCAACCTACTTCTGAAAATTGAACATCCCCAGTTCCCTCACCTGTTCCTCATGTTTCTTTTTCTTATCCATTACCACTTTCCTTTCCCTTGTATAAGAGCCCCGCTCTGTGACCTCACAGTGTGACCTTCCTGGGCCCAGGTAAGATGAGAGCTATGGATGAACCAACACAAGGCTTTGGGGAGCTTGGGAGGCCTCCCTAAATCACGGGAGCACTTGCCCATGTCAAAGAGGAAAGAAAAGGCATGGAGACAGGCCTGAAGACATGGAGCCATGGCGGGGAGGGAGAGAACATGAGGAAAGATCCAGATCTGTAACCCCAAGCACACCTTCAAATCCCAGATCATCCTAACAGAGCTGGGAGGGAACTGGGGCCGTCTTCACAAGACAGCCACAAACCACAGCACACCAGTGTTGTGGAGTGACTTCACGGATGACACCTCACTGTCCAAAGCTTTGTTCATGTTGTCAACCCTCCCTGAAAAAAAACATCATCATCAAATTTTGGTCTTCATTTAAAAGCTAACCGCCAATGTCAAATAGACATAGACTCAAGAATTGTACATGACACTGCAGAAATGTGGGAAGGAAAGCATTCCCCACCTCATCAGTCACCAGGCTAGGTGAGCAAAGAGCTGCTGCCTGCAAAATGCCCCAAGGCCATGGGACAAGGCAGTCGCGCCCCTCCAGAACCAGCATAAAAGCTGGCCCAGAGCCTCTCTCCCTCACACACTTCTACTCACAGCTTCACCACCTGCTCCTGCCCAAAACCAGGTAAGCCGCAGGCCTCTGACCCTCCTACTTCAGCACCCCTGGCCCATCTCTTGCAGCACAATCTGCCCCAGTTTCAGCAGCCCTCATGCCTCCACACAGCCCCACAACAGCCTCCACACTCTCTTGCCCTCCTGCCTCACCAACACTGACACCCCCACACCCCTGCCCTGCCTCACCCCTCTCTCTTTACCAGGCACCCTCCACTCCACACCCATGGCCTGCAACAACATCTGCAGTCCCTGTGGACCCACCCCGCTGGCCAACAGCTGCAACGAGCCCTGTGCCCTGCAATGCCAGGATTCCCGCGTCATCATCAACCCTTCCCCTGTGCTGGTCACCCTGCCAGGACCCATCATGACCTCCTTCCCCCAGAACACCGCCGTCGGATCCACCTCCTCCGCTGCTCTGGGCACTGAGCTCAATGCCCAGGGACAGCCCATCTCTGGCGGATTTGGCTTTGGCCTTGGCTACGGCCTGGGAGGCCTGGGCTGCTATGGCAGAAGGGGCGGCTACATCTGCTAAGGGCCCTCAGCACCACCCCTGACACCACCAGCTCTGGCCAAGGCCCACAGCTCCTGCAAGCAAAGCACCTCCGCTGATGGCCACTCTACTTCCACCTCACTCTGGATCCCTTCAAGTTCTCACTCTTGCCTTTTAATTCTTTTGCCTCAATAAACTTTTCCTGCATCAAAGTCTCACATGTCTCCTCTTCTTTTTGAATTTCATAGCTCTCACACCCTCACCCATGGGCTGGATAGCAAAGGGGCACAACACCTTCCTAAACAAGTAGAAACCCACCAGGAACAACCAAGACTGGAACAGGAAACAGGGTTGAATGCTGACCATCCAGAACATGACAAAATCACACGGCCTGCCATACCAAAGGCATTGATACAACAATGCTCTCCTGCTCATTCCTCCAGCAAAATCTCTCCATGCCAGCATTCCCTTGACAAGACCCCCTCCCATCACAACTCTCAAACCACACAAACAATCACAATAACATCCACTCTCACAGAAACTCAGGAGGTGCTGCAAGCCCTTCCATTCTGTCTCAAGAGGATCAAGTATGCCTCCCCAGAGAAGGATTTCCAGAACCATGGAGAGGTCAGGTTTTCATCTCCCTTAACAGACAAACTCCTGCACCTCTTCCACTCTGTGACCATCCTCACAATAAAAAAGCCTTGTCTGCCCATCCCATGGAATTTCATCTCTTTTCACTTGTGCCATTGCTTACTTGGAACAACCCCCCCATCCAGCCATGTCTCCTGGAAGTCCCAGCTTGCTCAGTCCTCCCTGAAAAATCCTTCCAGCCCTTTAAAGATCTTGGTGGCTCTAAACTAAACAATGGCCTTGATTCACTGATTCTGTGGTCTTCCTCCCGTGGGGAGCCCAGAACTGTTCACACCTACTTACGTCAGTTTTGAGGATGTTGAACAGTTTTGGCCTCATGGATACGACTCTTGAGCTACTTCATTTGAAGTTTGACTTCAGCTTGACTTTGCATCACAAGGCTCCAGGTCATGTTGTTTAAATATTATATAAATAGAGCAGTCCACCTCACTGACCCTTCACACCACCTGTACATCCTTGCATAGTCTGCAATGATGCAGTAGGAGAAAGTGCCAAAGACATTGCTAAGAGGTGGAGGTAAACACCAACCATGGCTCCCTCATCACCCACAGGAAGATTCTTTTTTTCTGTAGGCAACACAGAGGTCACTAAGACATGATTTTCCCCTCCATAATCAACTCTAACTGCTCCTAATCACCTTGTATGAGCTGAACTTGGAAATGCTTTGTAGGGGAAAAATTGTCCCATCCTTGTCTACAGGAACAAGCTCCCTGGAAATCCATGGGCAGGGTGGGAGGGAGTAAATGCACTGGAAGGGGCAGGACCTGATGCCCAGCACAGCCACAAAGCCCAGCACAGCCGGACAGGGCTGTAAAGGAATGGGGTCCCTCTCTCAAATGCAGCCACAAACCAAAACACACCTGCTGTCCAATGGGTTGAACTCATTGCTGACATCTCGATTTTCATAGGCTTTATTGGTTTATTCTGGTTTCTCTGACATGCACCTACCAAGCAAATCCTCCAAAACACCAACTCTCACTTTAAAGCTGCTGCCAAGGTCAGATGGACACAGTCACAGCAGCAGGATTTCACATTTTAGAGTTGCAGGAAGGAAAACAGTCCCCAGCTCATGACTCGTCAGGCCTGGCCAGGTAAAACTGATGTCATGATTTCCATTCAGGTACCTTGAGAGAGTAAAAAGGTCAACACAGTGGTTCTGAAAATTGAATGCATTCAGGTTCTTCAAGGGCTCCACAGACATCTTCTTATCCTTCACCAGTTTTCCTTTCCAGGTGTCACTCAGAGTCCAGCAGTGGGACCTCACAGCATGAACTAGCTGGGGCCAGCTGAGATGAGTGCTATGAATGAAAAAATCACAAGACATTGCAGGACCTGAGAAGAGTGACCAAACCACAAGGATTGCTTTCCCATGCCCAGCAGGAAAGACTTGATACATAAACAGGTTTAGAACTTTGGCAATGGGACAGAGAGTGAGAGAATGTGATGGAAAGGGACACCCATGACCTCCAGAAGAGCTGCAAACCCCAGATGAATCTGACATTACTGTAGGGGAAAGAGGAGCCTCTCCACAAGACACCCACAAACCACAGCACACCAGGGACATTGCGTGACTTCATTGTTGACAGCCCACAGTCCAAAGCTCACATCCACAGCCCTCCACAAAAAACATCATCATCAACATGCCTTGGTCTCTAATACTTGCATTTAAAAGCTGCCGCCAATGTCAGATGGACATGGATTCAAAAGTAGGACATGACACTGCAGAGTTGAGGGATGGAAATCACTCCTCACCTCAGCACTCACCACTCTGAGTAAACCAGGAACTGTGGCCTGCAAAATGCCCCAAGGCCATGGGGCAAGGCTGTCCCACCCCTTCAGGACCAGCATAAAAGCCGGCCCAGAGCCTCTCTCCCTCACACACTTCTCCTCAAGCCTTCTCCTCCTGCTCCTGCCCAACAACCAGGTGAGCCTCAAGCCCTGACCCTCCTGCTCCTGCACCCCTGATCCCTCTCTTCCAGCATGCTCAGCTCCATCCTCAGCAGCCCTCACACATCCCCACAGCCCCACAACAGCCTCCACACTCACTTGCCCTTCTGACACTTCACTCCTTGTACCACCATGTCCCTGCCCTGCCTCACCCCTCTCTCTTCCAGGCATCCTCCACACCACAGCCATGGCCTGCAACAGCCGCTGCAGTCCCTGCGGACCCACCCCGCTGGCCAACAGCTGCAACGAGCCCTGTGCCCTGCAATGCCAGGATTCCCGCGTCATCATCAACCCTTCCCCTGTGCTGGTCACCCTGCCAGGACCCATCATGACCTCCTTCCCCCAGAACACCGCCGTCGGATCCACCTCCTCCGCTGCTCTGGGCACTGAGCTCAATGCCCAGGGACAGCCCATCTCTGGCGGATTTGGCTTTGGCCTTGGCTACGGCCTGGGAGGCCTGGGCTGCTATGGCAGAAGGGCCGGCTACATCTGCTAAGGGCCCTCAGCACCACCCCTGACACCACCAGCTCTGGCCGCTGCCAACAGCTCCTGCAAGCAAAGCACCTTGGCTGATGGTTTCTCTACTTCCACCTCACACCTGATTCCTCCAGCTTCTTCTTTCCCATCATTCTTTCACTTCAATAAATTTTTCTTGCATCACAAACTGAGTTGCTTTCTGTTCTTTTCGAATTCCAAGAATCTCACATCCTCATCCTGTGCAATGCCAGCACTTAACCATTATGTGGGATGGAAAGGGAGCAAAGAACATTTCTTACCAAATATGTCCCCACCAAAAACAACCAATGTTGACATGGGAAACAGGGGAGAGGGGAAACCTTCCAGAACATGACACAAAGCCATCATCTCATCTGCCAAAAGCTTTGACAAACCAATTGTCTCCTGGGCACTGCTCTGCCACAGTCACTCTATGCCAGCATACACTTGAAAAACTCCCTTCACACCAGCACTCAAGTCTTCCCCGTGAACAGAGGAACAAGAACATCCACTTGGACAGGAACTCCATAGTCCAAATGCTTCCATCCCCCTTACTCAAGCAGGCCCATAGCAAGAGAAGAATTTCCAGGATTATGGCCAGTGCAATTTTTGACCACCAAGAAGAGGCACTCCGTTCTCTCTTACAGTCTAGGACCATCCACACACACAGAGAAATTATTCCCTTCTTTGCCCATGGTATTTGCTTTACTTTCTAATGTGCATGTGCCTTCTATTCCATCACGTGTGCAGTGCTGAGAACAGCTGGGCTCCCACACACTCGTCTCACCACCCTGCCCAGCCTTGTCTCCTCAGAGTCTCTGCTCTCTCACCTTGTCCTCGAGTAAAGATCCACCAGCCCCTTTAAGTGTCTGGTGGCCCTCAACAAGTCTCTGTCCACTACCCCCTTGTGCTTCTTCACATCTCGAGGCCAGAACTGTCCACATCACTGCACATGGGATCTCACCAGTGCTCTAAAGAGAGGAAGGGCCACCTCTCACAATTTCATAGCAACAATTTCCTGAAATCTGTCTTGTACACAGGTGACGCCCCACTGAAGTAATGCCCCACTGCAACCTATTGAGCACTCTGTTCTTGATCAGCACCACAGGGTCCCGCTCACAAAAGCCACTTCTCAGACTCTCAATCCACAGCATTATCCCGGGCCCAGTGCAATTCCTATCCAGTTGCAGAACTTCACATTTCTCTTGTTTGAACTTTGGGAGGTTCCTTTAAACCCTTAGTCTTGAGGTCCTTCTGAATGGTGGAACCGAAAAGTGGTGATCTAGACACTCCATCACCTGCCAGCGGGCTGAAGGGGCAATACTCCCACTGCTGACATGGAATGGAAGAGTCAGGGCACCCACACCTGGCACAGATGCAAAGCCCAGACCAGCCTGACTGACCTGGGATACTTTGGGGCGCCTCTTCACAAGACACACAAAACAAAAACACAGGAGTTCTACAGGCTGCCTTCACTGATGACTCCCCACCTCTCGAAATCTTGGTCTCGTCTTCAGTCCTCTTTGACACACACCATCAACACCAGCCTTTGGTCTCAAATACTCACACTTTAAAGGAGGAAAGGCCACAATGGAAGGGGCAGCTCCTCATGCACAGCACAGCTGCAAAGCCCAAACCAGCCTGACATGACTCTGGTGGTGTCAGGCCCCACTTCACAACACACCCACGAAGAAACCGATACGAGTACCATAGAATGACCTCAGTAATGACACCCATATAATTCCAAGGCATTTCTTGTATATTTTGGTTATTCAGACACACATATTCCAAGTAAATCCCCCAAATACCAAATCTCACTTAAAAGCTGACACCAAGTTCAGATGGAAACGGCCTCAAGAGCAGGACATGACACTGACGAATTGTGGGAAGAAAAACATTCCCCACATCACAACACACAAATCTATGACACACAAAACCGATGTTAAAACTTCTGTTCAAGTACCTCTAGTGGGGAATAAGGTCAACCAATTTTTTTTTTGAAAAATAAAATCCACAGTTCCTTCAATTGAACATCAAGTCTTTCTATAGCCTTCAAACATTTTTCTTTCCATGTTTCTCTCAGATCCCCGTAACAGGACCGCACAGTGTGACCATGCTGGGCCTAGCTGAGACGAGCATTACGGATGAACCCACACAAGACATTGGACAGCAGGGAAGGTGACACAGGGATTGTTCTTCCATATCCAGCAAGAAAGGCCGGGAATATGCACAGGTTTAGAATGTCAGAAATGGGACAGGGAGTGAGAGAACATGATCAAAGGGGACATCCTTCATCTCCAGTACAGCTGCAAAGCCCAGATGAGCCTGACATGGCTGTGGGGGAATGAGGACCCTCTCCACAGGACACCCACAAACCACAGCACACCAGGGACATTGTGTGACTTCACTGTTGACACCCCACAGTCCAAAGCTCTGGTCACATCCACATCCTGCCAAAAAAACATCTTCATCAACAGCCCTTGGTCTCTAATACCTGCATTTAAAAGCTGCTGAGAAGGACAGATGGACATGGATGCAAAAATAGAACATGACACTGCAGAGGTGGGGGATGGAAAACATTCCCCACCTCAGGACTCACAACACTGATTCAACCAGGAACTGTGGCCTGCAAAATGCCCCAAGGCCATGGGACAAGGCTGTCCCACCCCTCCAGGACCAGCATAAAAGCCGGCCCAGAGCCTCTCTGCCTCACACACTTCTCCTCAAGCCTTCTCCTCCTGCTCCTGCCCAACAACCAGGTAAGCCTCAAGCCCTGACCCTCCTGCCCCTGCACCCCTGGCCCCTCTCTTCCAGCATGCTCAGATCCAGCCTCAGCAGCCCTCATGCCTCCCCACAGCCCCACAACAGCCTCCACAATACCTCACTCTCCTGAATCCCTGCCCCACGCACATCCACACCCCAGTCTAACCTCATCCCATCTCTTCCAGGCACCTCCAAACCACACCCATGGCCTGCAACAACATCTGCAGTCCCTGCGGACCCACCCCGCTGGCCAACAGCTGCAACGAGCCCTGTGCCCTGCAATGCCAGGATTCCCGCGTCATCATCAACCCTTCCCCTGTGCTGGTCACCCTGCCAGGACCCATCATGACCTCCTTCCCCCAGAACACCGCCGTCGGATCCACCTCCTCCGCTGCTCTGGGCACTGAGCTCAATGCCCAGGGACAGCCCATCTCTGGCGGATTTGGCTTTGGCCTTGGCTACGGCCTGGGAGGCCTGGGCTGCTATGGCAGAAGGGCCGGCTACATCTGCTAAGGGCCCTCAGCACCACCCCTGACACCACCAGCTCTGGCCTCTGCCAACAGCTCCTCCAAGCAAAGCAAATTAGCTGACGGCCTCTATACTTTTACCTCACACCTGATTCCTTCAGCTCCTTCCTTCTCATCCCTATTTCACTTCAATAAATTTTTCTTGCATCAAAACCTGAGTTGCTTCCTCTTCATTTGTATTCCAATTGTTTCACATCCTCACCCTGTGCAATGCCAGCGCTCAACCATTATGTGGGATGGAAAGGGAGCAAAGAACATTTCTTAGCAAACATGTCTCCACCAGGAACAACCAGTGCTGACATGGAAAACAGGGGAGATGGGAGACCTTCCAGAACATGACACCAGGGCATCATCTCAATCTACCAAAGCCTTGGACACAAAAAATTCTCTCCTGGGCACTACTCTGCCAAAGTCATTCTATTCTAGCATCACTTGGAAAATTTTCAGAAGCACTCTTGAGTCTAGCCTGTGAAAAGAGGAATAACATGCTCTATTAGGGCAGGAAGCCCTAATAACATACTGTATTAGGGCTGAGTGAAAATGATTCATCCCCCTTGCCCAACGAGGCCAAACAGGAGCAGGATTTCCAGGATTATGGCCAGTTCAGTTTTGGACCTCCAAGAAGAGGTTCTCATTGCCTCTTACATCTGGGACAATCCACACACACTGAAAAATTCTTTCTTCCTTTGCTCATGGAATTCCATCTATTTTCACTCAGGCAAGTGCCCACTTTCTCTCCATGTGTGCAGTGCTGAGAACAGATGGGCTCCCGGACACTGGTGACAGCCCCTGCCCAGCCTTGTCTCCTGAGAGTCCCAGCTCTCTCAGACTCTCATCTAGCAAAGATCTACCAGCCCATTTAAGTATCTGGTGGCCCTCAACAGGTCTTTGTCTACTGCCCTCTTGTGCTTCTTCACCAATCAAGGCCAGAATTGTCTACACCACCTCACCCAGGATCACACCAGTGCTCTAAAGAGACGAAGGGCCAACTCTCATGACTTCATGGATACAATTTTCTGGAATCTGTCTTAGAAACAGGTGATGCCCCACTAAAGTGATGCCCCACTAAAATAATGCCCCACTGCAACCTGCTGGTCTGTGTTCTCGGTCAGCACCACGGGATCCTGCTCACAAAAGCCACTTCTCAGACTCTCACCCCACAACATGACCCAGGGTCAAGTGCTACTCCTGTCCAGATGCAGAACTTCTCATTTCCCTTGTTTGAGCATTGGGAGATATCTTTAACCCTTAGTCTTGAGGCCCTTCTGAGATGTGGAACAGCCAAGTGAGGCCTCAGATATGCCATCACCTGCCAGCTTGCTGAAGGGGCAACTCTCCCACTGCTGACAAGGAATGGAAAAGTCCAGGCACTCACACCTGGCACAGATGTAAAGCCCAGACCAGCCTGACACACCTAGGATAGTTTTGGGTCCCTCTTCACAACACACACATAAACCCAAAACCAGGAGTTCTACAGGCTGACGTCAATGATGACTCCCCACCTCTCCAAATCCTGGTCACGTTTTCAGCCCTTTTAGACACACACCATCAACATCAGCCTTTCATCACAAATACTCTCACTTTAAAGGAGGAATGGCCACAATGGAAGGGGCAGCTCCTCATGCACAGCTCAGCTGCAAAGCCAGACCAGTATGACATGGCTTTGGTGGAATGGGACCCATATTCACAGCACACACACAAACTAAACTAT